TACCCTCCTCTCTCTTCCTTCCAAGAGAAACTTCACTCTTCGGGAAGGGTAACAGATCAGGGACTAGTGAAGGGTAACCAGAAGAGTGAAATGGCACCACCTCAGTCATCAGTGACGGGTTCAGGAGAGCTGGTACTTTTGCCTCCTGGTCCTCAGAGCTCACTCTGCATCTCCTGAGAGCGTCTTTCACTTCGGGGTGGAACTGGCCTTCCTATTTTAATTAAAGTGAATTAAATAGAGGTGGCTTTCATAATTGCATGACACAGAAATGTCCTGATGGCCACCCTTGCCCTGGGCACCTCGCTGGCATTGGGCCTTTGGCTCATCGTTGTCCTGTGTTTCCTCCTCAGGTGCATGCCTTGCTTCTCTGGCTCCCTGGTCCCCAGCAGGGCATCTGTTAGCCCCTGTACATGTTGTTGGCAAGCATTTCTTAGGAAGCATTTTCTACTTTCCTGGGTGGCATGACTCTCTCACGAGGCACTAGAGGTGGGTGCTGAAAGACACCAAAAGACTCATTTGCACAGAATGAGGGGGCGTGCGTCTGCTTTAGAGACATGGCCTATGTGGTTTTCCTACAGAGCTAGCCACACAGCGCAGTCTCAACAAAGATTCATTTTGAAAAAAAAAAAGATATAAAACGCATGAGAACTGTCTGTTTAAAATCATCACGTAGTGAATTGTTGCAAAATGATAATATTTTTTTTATAGCAAATAATCTGAATTGGGTTTTCATGATGTGGATTTGTTCAAGGTTTGAAGTGAATTGCATCCTTCCTGAATTCGCTTTTCCTATGTCGTGGCTAAAGTTGAGGGGCTGGAGGCTCCTAAAAGTAGCAATCATTTACGTAACCCTCTTCACGCCCACAGCATCGGGAGGAGTGTCAGTATAATCCCTTACCGAAAGAAAGCTTACAATTTCCGCAATCACGGGGAATTCAAAGGCTGGTGTCGGCAAACAAAAGCGCCATACTCTCCACATTTCACAGTTAATAAGTAATATCCTCTCCATTCCTTATCTGTTTCTGCCAGTAAAATTGAACTCAGCAGGCCTGCTTTTGTCCTTAGAATGCCAACTGATGAAATCACTTCCAAAGTACCATCCGGCATCGTGAACACGGGTACCTTAGAAGGAACTGCAGAAGATGGCCTCTCTCTCCCACAGCTGGGGAGGGAGAAGTGCCATCCTACATCAAAAATCAGTTCCAAGAGTCAGATTTGATAAGGCATCAGGTTGAAGATTTTCACAAGAATATACATCTTGTCCTCCCGGGCAATGTGTGGACACGTGTGAATATTCATCTCTGTTCCTGGCTGGACTTGGTTAGAATAAATCAGTCCCTGGACGTATTGGTTCAACAAAAGGGTCTGGTAAGATTCCTAAGGCTTTAGAAATTGCCATGTCCTGTAAAAAGAAAAAAGCTGTAATTCTGACTGGTTTTCTCACTTGAGAATGGGTTGTCTTGGAAATAATATGGTGGCTGAATCTCTGCATTCCTAAACTGTTTCTCTATCAAATCACAAGAAAGTCATTTGCACTTTCCTCTTCTCCCATGTGCAAAATGGAGAAAAAGAATCCTAAGATTCTGTGAGCTTTATAAACACAATTTGAAAGGCTCAGTTATCGAAATTAACAGAACTAAGCATCTTTTTTCCTATTGAATCACCTCTTGGGTCCATTAAAATCTGCCGTGGTGGGCAGGGTGGAGTCGTGCTCCCTTTCCCCTCTCCCTGCCTCCTGTCTCCCCTAGAATTCCTCTCAGTACAACGTGAACTTCCCTTTTGGGTCCCCCCAAGTCTTCAGTGCGAAGCAAGACCAACAAATCTTCATCACTAAGTCCTTATCTCTTGGCTTCATTTTACCAAAGATTTCTCCTCACTGGGGATGGACAGTAGGGAAGGAAAGAGGGGAATGAGGGATGGGAAAGGTTACCATCAGTAGTCACTAAAAATCACTCATAAAAAAGCAGCATCTCACTTAAAATGATGAAGTCTTCATTAAGTTCCGTCTCACCCTGTAGAGTCAAATATTGAATTTCAGTTGCCCTGTAGGGTCTAATTGAGATTCTAATTAGTCAGACATCAATTGTACAGCTGGATTATTCTTGGGATCCTCCAGGACTTCTCAGAAATAGCAGCACCCTCACATCCACAATCTACCCCCCCACACACACACATACACACACACACACACACAATTACATTCTTGTAAGTGTAATCTACCTGATTCTGAGAATTCTTTTGGCTGGTTCCAGTTTGCTGAAGTGTAGCCAACAATCGTGTCCTTGGGGTTCACGTCATTCCCTCCCATAAGACTGCTCCTTCTCTACCCCAATGTTGGCTAATCAGAATCCCACCAACCATTCACTGAATACACTGACTACATCCTTATAATGGACCACTATGCAGCCATTCAAAGTGATGTTGTGGAAGGACAATTAATGACAAGGTGGAAAGTTCATGATAGATTTGTCAAGAGAAACTAGCAGGTTACAAAACAACAGGTGCTGTGAAGTACAAACCCATTTTGAAAGGTATATATTCATTTTTTTAAAAAAAAAAAGATTGGGCAGATACGGTCATGTCTTAGTGGTTTTATTTTCCTTTTTGTGCGTTTCAACATTTCACATTTTATGAGTACTTTTGTAAGTTGCCAAATGTAAAAAAAAGAAAACATCCTACTTATGATAGGCTGAATTGTGTCCCCCCCACAAATTAATATGTTGAAGGCCCAACCCCCCAGTACCTCAGAATGTATTTGGATATAGGGCCTTTGAAGAGGTAATTTAGGTCCAATTAGGTCACACCGGTAGGCCCTAATCCAATGGGACTAGCATCTCTATAAGAAGATAATATTGGTCACAGGCAACACAGACTGAGGGATGACCATATGAAGACACAGAGAAGACAGCCATTTGCAAGCCAAGGAGAGAGGTCTCAGAATGAACGAACCCTACCAACACCTAGATCTCGGACTTCCAGCCTCCAGAACTGTGAGAAAATAAACTTCTGTCACGTACACCACCCAGGCTGTGGCATTTTGTTACGGCAGCCCTGGCGAGCTAATACACCACCCATCTCAAAGACCAGCTCAGATGCCAACCCTGCCACAAAACCTCCTCTTGCTCCCATACCCTCCTTCCATCTTTCTGTGGCTACCACTTTTGTGTCATTCAGCCTCTTTTAGATTAGCATTTGCTCACACTCCTCCCCTGCTGCCTTGTAAGCTTCTTGAGGATGAAGTCCATGTCTCGTTCATCTTTTTCCACTCCACCACTGCTTGCTCACATAGCCCAGAGGTGCTCAACCAGTGGCTATCAAAATAACAAGAGAGCAACTTCCCTGGGATGCCAGTAGGGGTCAGACCACCTAGACGTTTCCTGGTGGTGGCGGTGCGGCTGCTGCTGTGTGCATGTTGTGTGTACGAGTATTGGGGGAGGGTGTGGTTGTTCCAGGAGGGCGCCACCTCTTACCAGTTGTGTGATCTTGTGGAGGCAGTCACACTTCACACCCAAACCTTCAGAGTTTACAAAGCATTTTTGTATGTATTCTCTCATTCGGTTGTCATAACAATCCACCAAGATTACAAATTATTTCCTCTGGTTCACAGGTGAGGTAACCATCGTCAGAGAAGGTGGAGAAACAAAACAGTTAGTTGTGAAAACTTATGACAATAATAGGTAGAATGTACTGAGTGCCTGGCACCACACTAAACACTTTGCATGACTTGTCCCAATGAAAATCCTCACAACGAGCCTATGAGAGAGGAATTATTACTGGATCTATTTTACAGATAAAGAAATTGAGGCCCAAAGGAATTACCTGAGATCCCATGGCTAGAAAATGGTAGAGCCACAGCCCATAATTAAAACCGGTATGTCATACTGCCCCGTCCCCACATAAATTAGCATATGGAGGGTGTTAAATGAGGGCAACAGACAGGAGTTGCTCCAAAATTCAGAGACTGAGTCGGTCTGGAAGGTCTTCTTAAATAAGGTGAGCTTTGAGCTAAGCCTTTTCGGACATAGTTGAGTGGAGAGGATGGGGTGGGGCCAGCCTGCCTCACTTCATGCTGTTTACGGCTAGGAGTCCCACAAGTCAGATTCAACCGCCCAATTCAACTCCCCACACCCCTCTTGAGCCCCCAGTAAGTGCCCGCTACTGGGCTGGGAGGTGCTGGGGTGCAGAGAGGATGAAGAGGAGGTCCCTGCCCAGGAGGACTCAGTCTCCTGGGGAAGACAGATTGGTGCCTAATAATAGCAACCCAAGAATACATGAATCGATTACCTTACCATGGCTTTAAGGCTCTATCCAGGGCTTTGAGGGGAAAGCCCTGGTTCCAATTCTGCCACTAATTTTCTATGAGACTTTAGGCAAATCACAGCCCGTCTTGTGGCCTCAACTTCTGCACCTGGAAGGCAGCTATGCTCACCACTACACCGCCAACACCAGACTGCACCTGGAAATGGAGTCACTGAATATGTATTGCAGAATGACTTCCATAGGCTAACGTCAATCGCCTACATCCAATTTCCATTCTCTCTCTCTCTCTTTTTTTTAAATTAGAAATGTGAGTTTAATCTTAAGGAGAGAGGTCAAAGCAAAGAAATAGGGTTTTTTTTTTTTTAAAGACTTTATTTTTCCTTTTTCTCCCCAAAGCCCCCTGGTACATAGTTGTGTATTCTTTGTTGTGGGTCCTTCTAGTTGTGGCACGTGGGATGCTGCCTCAGCGTGGTTTGATGAGCAGTGCCATTTCCGCGCCCAGGATTCGAACCAACGAAGCACTGGGCCGCCTGCAGCGGAGCGCGCGAACTTAACCACTCGGCCACAGAGCCAGCCCCAAGAAATAGGTTTAAAAGTCAACAACATATAGATAAAAGTTGTGGAAGCAGATGGACACTCAAGGAAAGTTGTTTGCTAAATGAGAGATTTCAGTGAAGATCCCTGCCTCTCCCGCCCCCAGGGCTCACCTCGTGGTTCCACACAATGAAAAACACTAGCAATAAATAAAGAAAAGCAGCTATTTATTGAAGGAGGGGATAGAAATAGCACCAATCACCAGTTTCTATTCCCCTGGGATGGATGATGCCTTCAGAGGAGATGATGTAAACGCATTAATCACACGGGCCCCCGGGGAAAGACAGAGGAAGAGGGTTGGGTCTACAGCAATAACATGACACCAACAGCACACCCATCTGTGTCCAGAGCTAGAATTTGTGGGGGCCTCTCCTAACTGCTGCCCCTCTTGCTGGACCCTCTCCCGCTGGAACAGTCACCTCAGCAGTGGGGGCATACCTCTCATTGGCTTATTTCTTGTAAGACTCAAGAAATAAGAGGAAGTCTTCAGACGTTGGCCTGACAACATTTTCTTACTTAAGCACACAAGTTGAATAAATGGGCACATTCCCCCGACTGGGTCCAGTTGACCAACTCAAAGCTACTTTTGATTCTTGAGCACATTTAGCTCCTTGGTACATCTTTAATTTCTTTTCTTTGTATGTTCTTTCTTTCTTTTTTAATGACAGGACAAAAACTATCTGGAGAAGGGAAATTCTTCCACGTGCATTGAACCCTTCACATTTCTCACCCCAGCCGCCAAGGTTAGATATCCATGATCTTAAGAATATCCACTACAATAAGATGACCCTTTCTCCGGAAGGCAGAGAACAGAGGAGTCTCCTCCTTCCACAGGTCTTCCATTCTACAATCCCAGGGCTGCCTAAGTAGGACTGGGCTTCTCCTGATTGCTCTCAAGGTTGGCATTCTACAACTCATCTGGCATATCAAGCACTTGGGCCCTGTAAGAAAATCTCACCTTCCTGAGCTGTTGTTGCAGAACCTGAGAAGATGTGGTGAAAGAGAAAGATTTCCCAGTAACTGTGCCCACAGGGTTCCGGGGCCTTCACAAGCTAAAGCCTGTGCTAGGTGACTCTCCTGCTTGAGGGCCAAGCAAGAGAAGCCATCAGTGCTGCCGTGCGTTCGATGTAATAAGAAAATACACCCAAGTTGCCTTCATTTGCTCATCTGACAAACATTATTATGCATCTATCTGCATAATATCCTGTAATGGGGATACCAAAAATGGAAAGACAAGACCCAAGATCTGGTAGGGGAACAAGGAAGTCTCCATTCCTTCTTTCTCCCCCTCCCACCCCAGTCCCATAAAAGTGAGACAAAACGGATGAAGCCAAGTTGGAAAAACTATTGGGTTGAGCTGCTGACTACCATTTTGGTTAAGAACCTAGTGGAATCTGAGAAGTTTAGAATTTGTAGCAATCTTGGTAGCCTCGGACTATCTTCTATGCAGCACTATTTTGGGAGTTATACTCTAGGCTCTGACTAAGGGACAAGCCTATAAAAAGAAAATAAAACAGTCACCAAGCTGGACACGCTGCTTGTTCTCCAGGAGATAAGAAAACGATACAAGTATAAAAAGATGCAGGCAGCAGAGATTTATGCTGGGACAGGTAGCCAAGTGAGAAAAAGTGTGAAGCCAGGTGCCCGGCTCCGTGCAAGGGCCCTGAGTTCCTGGGCCCAGGGGCTGGGTGTGGAAAACTGTTACCACCTGCCCTTTTCTGATTGAGGAATTATGGAAGGTAAGTGGAGAAATTGCTTAAGCAGCCTAAACTCATGCAAACCCCATCCCACCCCTTTCCCTACCAACAACAACTAGGTGCCCAGAAGCTGGGTCTGGTTGGGTCTGATTGAGTTTGGTCAGATCTGGTCTTGTCTGGTTGGGTCTGTTGAGTCTGGTTGACTCTGGTCAGGTCTGGTTGGGTCTGGTCCAGTCTGGTCAGGTGTGCTTGGGTCTGGTTGGATCTGGCTGAGTCTGGTTGGATCTGGTCAGATCTGGTCAAGCATGCAGCTGAAATACTGCCCACATTCTGTGTGGACTAGCAGTCAACAGAGACCTGAGTTCAAGGCCCAGCACTGCTCCTTGCTTGGAAAAGTCTCTGTTTCTCTTCTAGCTTCAGTTTCCTCACGTGTAACTTGAGGGTCATTCTCAGTACTTACCACGGGGTTGTTATGAGGGTTAAATGAGACAACTATGTAAAGCACTTCAACAGTGCCCAGCAGACACAGAAGCTCAATACTTGTTAACTGATTATCAGCTACATAGAGTCTTTCCCAACCCTCCCAATAAAAATGGCCTCTGCCCCTCCTTGAACTCACATCACAGTCTGGCTTTATCTTTCATTTTCTGCCCTTGAAGGGAAGATCTCTGATTCATCTTCATAGGATCGAGTCAGATTTCAAACGATAAGTGAGAATTTAAATGATTCTTGTGAGAGAGGGAGGAAAAAGAAAGAACTTAGAAGCAATCACGTCTATTGGCAGAAATATGCAACTATTGCCAGGTACCAAAACAAAAACAAATTGAGTTGCTGGAGCTTGGAATTCAGCTTGCTGGTTAGAGTGAAGTGGACATTAAAGATAGACTTGCTCCTACTCAAGGTGTGGTCCGTGGGCATCACTTGGGAGCTTGTTAGAAATGCAGGCTCTCTGACTCTACGCCAAGCCTGTGGAATTAGAATCGGAATTTTAACAAGGTGACTCCTATGCATGCTAAACTTGAGGAGCCCTGGAGAAACAAGTGATTCTCAATCTTGGCCACACATTGGAATCATCTAAGGAGCATTTAAGGGTCCTGATGCCCAGGCTGGATCTCAGAACAGCTAGAATCTCATTGATTTGTACAGCTCACCAGGTTGAGACCCATTGGTCTAGACCCACCCTACGATTTACTGGGCAAGAAACTAAGGTCTGGAGGGGTAAACTGGCCTGCCCGAGGTCACATAGCAAGTAGTCACAATGCTAGGGACATGAGCTCAAGTCCTCCAACGCCAGGGCTCTCTTCGTTGTACTTCACTGCCCTGTGGCAGAGTTTGGGAAATGGGATGAGGTGAGGAGAGCATCAGGCTTCCTTTTCTGGCTCGCCATCCTCATGGTTGGCTCCTGAAGTAGGAGCTTCCTGGACATGGGTGGCCTTATGCCACTGAATTCCCTGATGGACTATGTGCATGGGAACCCCACCCTTTGAGGCAGTAGGTCCCGGGAGCCCAGGGCCAGGTAAGATTCTGCTACCTAACCGGTGGCCAGTCTCTGGGCTGAAATAGCCCCCACACTCACCCAGCCAATCTGACCCTGCCATTCCCACACACCCCTGTCTTCCCAGAGACACAGAGGGCTCAGGGACTGTCCCACCACCCAGGTCACACAGTTCTCAGAATCAGGTGAGGTTTCTGAGCCCCCACAGCCTCAGCTCCTGGCTCCTCTCGGAACTGCTGGGACAGGCCCGTTCTCAAGTCAGCAACCGCGACAGTCTCGAAACCTTCAGGGCCAGAGGCTCCCCCGTGACTTGTTTTCGCTCTCTTGTCAGGGTTTTGGGGGGGGGGTGTGTGTCTCAAACCTTTGATTGTCTCTGCTTTCTGACTTTTTCTGGTGTGTTTTTGAAGTGGCTTTTTGTTATTCTGCCTCAGCTCACTCACCTTTCTCAGCAGCCGTGGAAAATAGCTCTGTTCTGCTCTCCTCTGTGCACTTGGATTCCAAGTAAACAGCTCGCCTGCTGGCCTGACCATGCTGAACAGCTCTGGAGGGCCTGGTCCTGTGAAGCCCTTGAAAATAAACATGTGGCATAAAGCTTCCCGCTGCTCAAGGAGGAAGATGGGGTAGACACAAGAAAGCAGAAGGAACTTTCTAGGCACACAATTATTGATGGCCTTGGCAGATGTGTTCTGAGCCCTGGAGCAGGCAAGGAAAGGGACCTTCTCCTCCCGTGAGCATCAGGCCTGCTAGAAGGAAGGCACCCACCTGCCAGGAGCTTCTCTGGTCTCCTCTCCGGAAAATCGAGGGCTAGATCTACAGCTATGCTGTCCAAAACGGTAGCCACTAACCACATTGGCTACTGAGTGCTTAGAATGTGGCTAGTGTGACTAAGGAACTGAACTTTGAATTTTACTTCATTTTTAAATTTAAATAGCTACGTGTGGCTAGTGGCTGCTGTGTTAGACAGAGCCGCTCAACAGCAGTGGTTGTCAAAGTTGGCTGCACATTAGAATCACCTGGGGAGACGCAACACACTCTGATGCCCGGATCCACCCCTGGCGATTCCGATTTATTGGCATAGCGTGTGGACTGAGCAGCAGAGTTTTGAGAACTCCCCAGGTGACTCTAATGTGCAGCTAAATTTGAGAACCTCTGGCCCAAAGGCCTTCCAATAGCTCTTCCAACACCAACTTCCTGCATTTTGATATGGTTTCTACAGTTTTCAGAATTTGAGGACCAAGTAGTTTACTTAGAGAATCAAGTCAAGACATTGAAAATGTTTTTCCACGTTCTAAACGTAATGCATTCATTGTAGACAATTGAGAAGATTCAGAGAAATAAAAAGAAGAAATTTAAAAGCCCCTAAAATCCCACCACCCAAGTAAGGAGTTAAAAGGCTCGGGTGTAAATCCTTCCAAAGATTTTCTCCAGGATACTTCCTTATGTTTTCTTCAAAACTGGGATCATACTATGCTGCCTATTTTGTAACCGGCTTTGGTCACTTTGCTTCTTTGGTTAAAGAATATTCACATGCTACCATCAATTGTAATGCCTGCATGGTAGTCTTTCATACATAAACCACAATTTATCCAAATCCATACTAATATTGACCCCATTTTTGCTATTGTTTTAAAAAACATTGCTATGAATATAACAATAGCAATATCTTTATGAAAAGCTGTTCACCAACCCTTTGGGAGAAGAGAAGAGGGAAGAGGAGGGGAGGGGGCAGAGAAAACAAAAGAAAATAATTAGGTCAAAAGGCATACAAAATTCTAAGCAATTCAAATTACTCTCCAGAAGAGTTGAACCAGTTTACATTCCTACCAACAGCGCATGAGAGCACCTGTTTTTATGCATGCTGGCATTGGGGATTGACCTTATCAAATTTAACAAGGTTTAAAAAAAACCCACCACCACCAACAGGCACCTCATCATTGTGAAGTTCAGTGCACCTTCAATGAGCACTGACTGTGCGCCAGGTGCTGCCTTAGGTACTGGTTTGACGAAGATGAATGGAGCGCCTCCCTGCCCTCTGAGAACTCAGGGAAGGGAGGAGTTCAAGGGCTTGGCTTTAAGTCAGGGAGAACAACACAGGTGCGAAGAAGTACCAGAGTCACACCACAGAGAGGGAGGGAAAACCCGTGGTTCTTCACGGCAATGCTGGGAGCGTTTGAGCTGGCTCGAGAAGGATGAGAGCAGGCACTGGCAAACGGCAAGGTGCTGGAGGTTCAGGGCACAGGAAAAGTGTCACTTCTATCCACCAGTGGCTCCTACACTCATCAACCCCCTACAGTCAGGAAGCTCTCCCCTCAGATCTATCCCACAGCTTCTTATTACTGCTTAAATCCCTTCCCTCTGGTTCTCTGTAGTGGAAACAGGAGACAACTTGGTTGTATTCTCCATAAAATCACCTTCAGAGACTTCTAGATCAATGCAAATCCCAAACATGGTATGGTATGTTTCTATTTGGATTATTCACTCCTTTTTAAAAAAAAACTACATTGACATACAATGTCCTTATGTCCATTAAAAAAGAAAGAGTTACAGAAGTCAAGACCATGGGGCAAAAGTCGGGGTGATGGATTCCCCAGGCCTCAAGACCTGAGCCCAAGTTACACATCATTCTTAGGATGGCCAATGCCAGTCCCGTATAAAGAAGGGGGCAGCTCAAGTCCTGGCTGTCCCACATAGGACCGTGGGGAAATTTACTTCATCTTACTGAGCCTATAAAACATAGATTATAGGAATAGCGAAAATCAGATTTGAGGGATGGGAAAGCATTTTGTTAAAAATAACAATAAAGAGAATAAGAATAACCTGTGACTCCCATCAACGTGGGCCCATGGTCAAGTTAGCCAGCCTCTTGCTTTCTCTTTTTGTGAGTATCTGTGACCCACAAACACACACACCCCCTTTAAACCAAGTCTCTGACGTTACTAGCATTTCAGGAATAAGGCAAGTCCCCAAAGATGGCCTTTCTTCAGAAGCTCACTGAAAAGTGAATTAAGGAACTTACCCAACGGTGACTCGGAGCAGGAGGTAGGAAGGGCATGACGGCCACGGGGCCTTTGAGTGCGGGGTCCCCTTTTCCATCCACTGACCGACACTCCTCCTCCCCGCTGTTCTGCCCTATAACGTCAGGGACAGAATCAAATTTCCCACCTCCCTGCCCTCACCTCCCCCTTCTCCGTATAGCTCTGTGACACATGTCCCTGGAGAGTCCCCGACATCATCACAGAATAAAAACAAAAACAACAAAGAAAAAATACCAAACCTTCCCCCTTGCCACTCCCGCCCCTCCACTGAGTCGCCCACACGATGGGGGTTAACTCGAGTTTCAAATACTAGAAATGAAATGGCCTTTTTTTTTTCTCACTTCTGCTATTTACACAGAAGTGCCTACCAGAGACCTCAGCACTAAACCCACCATAATTCAAATTTATTTTTAGATTTCTCAGCTGTAGAAATCTACAAAATGCCAAAATGGGCTCGGGCGATTCAGCCGACAGGAGGAAGGAGAGGGAGAAAGGGAATGAGCCGGCTGAGAACCCGCTCTCGGCCAGGTGCCTTGCTGACTCCACTTCATTTCATCCTCACAGGGACTCTCAGGAGAAAGCCCATTATCGGAGGTATTTTCACAGATATTGCAACTGAGGTTCTGGGTAGCTGAGCGACTCGGTCAAAGTCAAACAATCAGTAGTGGGACCTGGATTTGAAACCAGAACCAACTCAAAAGCCAGAGTTCTTCGTGTTGAACCCTCCCCTTCTCCTGTTCTCTCTTGTGCTCCCACAGCAAATTCCCATGTACCTTCTTTACCTGAGTGTTTGCAATATCCCTGCCCCAGCTACCTGTACCTTGCCCTTTTCAGCTTTGGAACAAAAATAGGGTCAATCAGAGAAGGTTCTGGAAACTGAAGAGTTTTCTTTCCCCCAAAAGAGAGACCAACAAATCAAAAGAGGCCTACATACTGCCTGCCCAGGTATTCATGTTATAAATCGAGCTAATAAACTAATAAATAAAACAGGCCAGGGCCAGCCAGGTAGCACAGTGGTTAAGTGCACACATTCCGCTTCAGTGGCCCGGGGTTTGCCGGTTCAGATCCCGGGTGCAGACATGGCACCGCTTGGCACACAATGCTGTGGTAGGCATCCCACATATAAAGTAGAGGAAGATGGGCACGGATATTAGCTCAGGGCCAGTCTTCCTCAGCAAAAAAGAGGGGGTTTGACAGCAGTTAGCTCAGGGATAATCTTCCTCAAAAAAATTAATTAATTAACTAAAAAATAAAATAGGCCATATTCTATTTTGAAAATATGTTTCCGTAAGGAAAAATATCTTTCATAATGACCTACGAGGCCCTGTTTATGTGTAGAATTCTCAGATTCCCTGATGAGCTTCCCTCCAGCCCCCTGCCCAGGCCTGCAGCTCACTCTCCTTCTCTTCCTACTCCCCAGCCTGGAGTAAGCTCCGTCTACACCACCAATCCATAGCCAGCCTTTGGCCACCTCTTGAGCCTAGGGTTTGTGAGTCCTGGGTCCCAGAGCATGACAGAAGTAGAGACACAGACCAGTGGTGGGCCCGTCCTTCACCTGACAGAAAGGAGTGCAGTCAGAAGAAGACGGGTGTCCCTCCACCTGGATCTGAGGGCAGCACTGCGTTTGTTGCAGGCACTATTTGCCCATCACTCTAAGCAGGATCCACGCAGTGAGCTGGAGCCACAACTGTTACCTCATCCTTCTACCTGCCATGAGCCCTAAACCTGACATTTGAAAGGAAATGATGCTTTTGACCATTTCAGTCAATCTGCAGTATTTGTCTTTCCCCACCCCTGGGACAGGGCTCAAGGAGCGGGAGGTTCTGGCACGCATACATTGACATTTACACATAGAATCTCCTTGGCTCTGTTTGTTCTTTGCTTTAAAAGTCTGCTCCAAAAACTATAAACAGAAACCAGATCTGTAGTTCCCAGGGGCTGGGGGTGGAGGAAGGGGTTGACTACAAAAGGGTGTGAGGGGATTTTGGGAGGCAACTGTCCTATAGTGTGTCTTGTTTGTGCTAGTGGTTACACAACTGTTCACATTTGTAAAAACCCCTAGAACTGTACACTAAAATAGGTGAATTTTCATGTATGTAAATTATATCTCGAAAAATGATGTAATTGGCAGCCAGTCCCATGGCCAAGTGGTTAAGTTCACACGCTCCACTTCAGCAGCCCAGGGTTTTGCCAGTGTGGATCCTGGGCGCGGACATGGCACCAGTCATTAGGCCACACTGAGGCGGCGTCCCACATGACACAACTGGAGGGACCCACAACTAGAATGTACAACTGTATACTGGGGGGATTTTGGGAGAAAAAAAAAAAGAAAAAAAAAAGATTGGCAACAGTTGTTAGCCCACGTGCCAATCTTTAAAAAAAAATGATGTAATAAAAATTGTCTCTTCAAACCTCATTTAAGAAAGGAGGAGGACTTGAAAAAGGAATGTGTTAAAGCATCTAAATTATCTTCCTTTGGTGTGACATTTAGAGTAAGTCAGTGTAGTGCACACCTGTCACATTCGTCTTACAGATAGCCTTTCTTTCTGGAGGAAATGCCCTTGTTATGGTCCTGCCTCCCCAAGTAGAGGTCAAGGACTCAAACTCCCAGCCTCCCTTGCAGCTAAGATATGAGCATGTGATCTACTCTCGACCAATCAGAAGCACTCATACTCATAAGACATGGGTTCAGAAGTGAGCACTGTACAGGCACAGGGCTACATGGGGCTTCCATCTTTGCTGGTGTGGGGGCAGCAGAGGCATTTGACTTTGGGGCTTTCAGTGCTTGTGAAGTTGAGTTCCTGGTTACAAACTAGTGTTGTGTAGGGGAAAGAGGATAGACGAGGGAGTTCCATTCCTCACTCTCTGCGGCTGGCTGTGAGTCTCCTTTGGGAACGTCCTTAACTTCTCTGAGTCTGTTTCTTCATCTTTAGAATGGGCAGCACACTGCTTACCTCACAGGGTTGTTGTGAGATTAAATGAGGTGATTCAGGCTCTGGCATGCAATAGGTGCTGAATGAGTCTTAGCTGTCATCCTTCCTCAAACAGTAGGTAAGAGTCTTGAAATTGGTGACCTGTCTTATCAGCCTGGAAGCTTCCCCAGAGCAGGGACCCCATGAGCTTTACTCAGAAGGCAAAGCTGAAACTAATCTTTGAGGAGCAGGGACAGGTGGCCATGCACATAACTAGAGATATCCCCCATTAGGCTCCACTCCTCTGCCCCGCTCCTCTCTAGCAGTACCAAAGAGGCCACTATTTCATTAGCTCTAGATGGAGCCTGTTTGGGGTCAAATCAACAGAAATATGCTTCGCTTTAATTTAACACCCACTGGTTGGGCACCAAGAATATGCCGGGTGCTGTGTTAAGCATCTAAGAAATAAGAAAGGCGGCCCTTAGTTTTAACCTGATGGAGGGAGAAAGATTGCAGACACGCCTACAATACAAATTAGACTGAGAGATGCTGTCTTAGCAGTGTGAGCAGCCTTCTGTGGGCTGGAGGCGTCAGAAATTCTTTAGGAGGTGAGAGCTCTCGGAGCTGCGTCTTAAATGATGAGTTAGAGTCTAAAAGGGGGAGAAGGAGCCATAGGCATCTTAGCCTGAGAGAACAGCATGTGGAAAAGCCCAGAAGAATGAAAATGCACAGTTTTGGAGGGAACTCAAAGTTGGGCCAGAAAGGTTGGAGTACATAGGTGGGGAGTCAGAGACTAAGGCCTGAGCTGGTGAATGGGCCAGGGTGAGAAGGGCTTTGAATGCCGTGAAGAAGGCACAAGAGGACAATGAAGCAGCCAGCCCTCCTTAAACGATTGTGTGGGAAGGAACAGGATGGTTTCAGAACTCCTCCTGTCTTTTCTTCCTGACCAAAGCTCTGCTAGGATTTCCTAAATGTGCTTAACACAAGCTTCTCTGAACCCCGCAGTCCGTCCAGGAGATGATCAATGGAATCCCCAAACACGAGACCAGAGAGGACATCCAAGATCATCTGGTTCAATCCCCAGATGAGGAAACAAGAGGTGGGGGGGGTGCTCCTGGAAACTTGGCTGGCTGAGCCGAGACTGGAACCCACACTCTTTTCTACCGTAACAGGTGGTCTCGAGCTAGGCAAACATAAAGACACCTGGGTTTTCTAATAAGCAAAACGTACAAACTCACTTGTCACATACGCAGGATTGGCCCAGTAGTAGGCTTGGTCTGGGGGTGGGGAGCGAGCCCTCTGGATTCTCACTCATCACTTGCCATGAGACCAACCTCGTCATGTTCCACCCCTGCTTTCACGACAGAGGCTATTTTAGTCCAACTTTCTGGTCGCCCTTGCCATTTTGCCAGGATAAAGGTCACCATTGAAGTCAACACTGGGTCTCACTGAGGGGCAAAAGGAGCCCCGGGGGACTCTGGGCAACCCTCAGTCACACGCAGGGGCTCTGGCTTCGTGCTGTTTGGGGACAGCACAACAGTGCAGCCAGCCCCTCCCTCTCTGGTTGGCTGAAACTAGAATGGGATGAGGTTTTGCTGAGCTATTCTGGGAGAATTCTGCTCCCCTGCTTTCCCTCTCCCCTTCCTTCACACCCCCATCCTCACCTGTCCTCACCCCTTCCCTCAGGGAGCTTGGTGACATAGAAAACACAGACCCATAAAGCCTTCCTCTCAATGCCCAACAATGAACCCACGCAGCAAAACAGGAAGCATCTTCTTGTCAAGGCAAGCCCATTGTGCACACTCGTCCTGACAAGTGGCAGGAAACTGCCACCGGGCCGTGGCAACAGGTGTCAGGGTGACCTGAGACCTCCTGCTAGCCTCTGCCAGGACCTCCTTCTCTTTTCGTCCTCCTGGAGCACCACCTCCTTCCTCCCTGCAGCCTGACAACCCCTCACCTCACACTTGTTGCTTCTCTCTCTCTTGGTGGCCCAGGGCCTGATTAACACCTTAAAAGGCCCTAAACCCTAAAAAGATTATAGCCTCTCTCCAAATATAATTCCTGATACTGACCAACCAACACAAGATGTACACAGATGCTGAAATTAAGAGCTGCTTTTTTAGATTTTCTGATTACAAAATTCTAGGTAAGTTCAACACAGAACCCTTCTCAAATTTGGAGTGTCCTTGTCTGGCTGGGGCCCTAAATCCATGACAAATCTGCCTGTGGTGGAGGCCCCCTCTCCTTGGCTTCACATGGGAATAGATTGTTTCCAAGTGAAATAAAACAGGGATTGGAGATGAGGGCAGGGGTAAGAGGTGTGATCTTGGACTTT